CTGCTGCAGGCTAAGGACCCCTCAGGGATGTCCAACTGCTGGCTTAGGCCCACTGAGATTGGGCCTAAACTGGCAGTCGGACATCCCCAAGGGGTCCCAGACTGTGAGAGGGCACAGGCCGGGCTGAGGGACGACCCCCCCCCCAGCCCCCCATGCACGAATGTCATGCAACTGTTTAGTTAGGTTAAACTTTTTAAAGTACACACAGAATATTTATAAAAACTGATATATCATAGACCACAAAGCAAAGCTCAATAAATACCAAATATTCATACAGATTTTTAGACAACAGTGCAATAAGATTAGATGTCACCTATCAAAGAAGCCCCAACGAAATTTCCTTATGCCCATATGCTTGAATTGACCAAATTAACTTCCAGAAATGTCAAATCATGCTAAAAATTAGAAAATTTGACTACTAATGGAGTAATGTAAACTTATTTTAAATTGCAAATGCACACCCTTAAATCTCAATCCCTTTTAGATCTGCTTTTTTTCTCATTGCAATTCACAAGAATGCACATAAGTGCTTAATAATCTTTAAATAAAAAGCTGATTATAAAACTTGGTAATGTGCAACTGAAGAACTATTTTAGAAGTTTATATACTTTAATACATATACTTAAAATGAAGGTTACAGATTAAATGACCTAATCACCCCAGTAAACAGAAAGACAACAGCAAAATAAACACAAAGAAATTGAAAGGACCCAGCCAGTGTGGCTCAGTGGTTGAGCATTGACCTATGAACCAGAAGGTTACTGTTCGATTCTTGGTCAGGACATGTACCCAGGTTGTGGGCTCGATCCCCGGTAGGGGGCATGCGGGAGGCAGCTGATCAGTGATTCTCATCATTGATGTTTCTACCTCTCTCCCTCTTCCCTCCTCTCTGAAATCAAAAATACATTTTAAAAATGGAAGGAAGAAGAAAAAGAGCATAAATTAATAGCAAATGAAATAAAGAATAAACAAAATCAAACCCCTATCTGAAAATATTTTTCAAAAACAGATGCCTGTAGCCCTAGCCAGTTTGCCTCAATGGATAGAGCATTGGCTTGGGGACTGAAGGATCCAGGGTTGATTTCGATCAAGGGCATATGCGTGGGTTGTGGGCTCGATCCCCAGTAGGGGGTGTGCAGGAGGTAGCTGATCAATGATTCTCATCACTGATGTTTCCATCTCTCCCTCTCCCTTCCTCTCTGAAATCAATACAAATAAATTTTTAAAAAATCACCATATCCTCTAATATTAAAAACACACACACAAAGATGCCTCTAAGTAGCTGATCAAGGAAAATAAATACATAAGCATTAAAGAAACTGATTTTGAGTTTTCAAATATCCATTAAAAATACAATTCCAGATAGTTTTTCATATATTCTAGGAATAAACTAAGTCCTTCCTAACTTTAATGTTTCGGATATTAGGGGAAAAAACATTTCCTAATGCCTTTTTATAAAGCCCATTTCACAGTACACTTTTTTTGTTAATCCTCACCTGAGGATATGTTTTTATTGATTTTAGAGAAGGGAGAGAGAAACCTCGATTGGTTGTCTCCTGTGCATGCCCTGATGGGACTGAATCCTGAACCTATGTATGTGCCCTGACATGGAATCAAATCAGCAACCTTTTGGTGTACCGGACAACTCTCCAACCAACTGAGCCACCAAGCCAGGGCCACAGCATATTCTTGATGCCATACCAGGGAAGAATATTATGAGGAATACAATTACTTTTTCAAACTCACTCATGAACATAAATGCAACAAATGACAAATTTTATAAAGTCCTAGCAAAATGAATTCTTAAATATATTAAAAATATACTACCAAATTAATTTTATCCAAAGGATGCAAGAGTGATTTAGTGTTAGAAAATGTCATTCCCCACATTAACAGATTAAGGGAGGAAAAAATACATGATTATCTTAACAGATGCTGAAAAACCATTTTCTCATGATTTTAAAAAAGTAATCTTGCCAGGCCGGTGTTGCTCAGTGGTTGAGCATTGACTCATGAACCAAGAGGTCACCAGTTTGATTCCTGGGCAGGGTATATGCCCAGCTTGCAGGCTTGATCCCAAGTAGGGGCATGCAGGAGGCAGCCGATCAATGTTTCTCATCGATGTTCCTATCTCTCTATCCTTTCCCTTCTCTCTAAAATCAATAAAACATTTTAAGAAATAATAATCTTACACTACTCCTTAGTCCAAGCCACCATCATCTCTCACCTACATTATTGCATTAGTGTATATATTAACTGGTCTTCCTAACATTTATACCCAACACAGGACTCAAATTGATCCTTTTAACAGGTGCATCAGACCTAGCCAGTTTGGCTCAGTGGATAGAGCATCTGCCCGTGGACCAAAGAGTCCCGGGTTTGATTCTAATCAAGGGCACATACTTCGGCTGCAGGCCCATTTAGGGAGGTAACCAATTGATGTGCTTTTCTCACATAGATGTTTCTCTGTCTGTGTCTCCCCCTTTCCTTCCCCACTCTCTAAAAATCAATAAAAACATATCCTTGGGTAAGATTTTTTTAAAAAAAGTTACCCTCCAAAACAGAAAGCACTAGGACCAGATGGGTTCTCTGATGAACTCCACCAAATATTTAAGAAATTATACCAAATCTCTACAACCTCCTTCAGAAAACAGAAGCAGCCAGATGCAAGAGATGCATAAGGCAAGATATGAGGAAAGGGTGTGCAGCTTCCATGCCTTCTTCAGGCATTCCACTCTCCCCAAAGGTCACGTGTTCACCAACCCAGAAGCTCTCTGAACCCCATTCTTCTGGGTTTTTATGGAGACTTCATTACACAGGTATGATTCATTAAATCATTAGCCATTGTTAATGGATTCAACCTCCAACCCCTCTCCCCTCCCAGGAGCTCTGGGGGTAGGAGTAAAAGTTCCAACTTCTAATCGCATGGCAATCAACCCGCATTCTTAGGTGTGTTCCAAAAGTATCCTTATAGACAGATACCTTCAAGCTAAGTGATGAGAACTTAGGATATTTAAATGGTCTTGGGAGCTGTAAGCCAGGAACTATGGATGAAGACCAAATATATATGAGAAATTTGAATATATTTTGGTCATCTGAATGATTATCCTGGGAGGAGCGAGCAGAAGCAAGCAGTTGCGCTCGGGTCCCGAGAGGAATGAAACACCAGTAGACTCGCTTTCTTTTTCTTTTTTTATATTTTTTATTGATTTCAAAGAAGAAGGGAGAGGGAAAGAGAGATAGAAACATCAATGATGAGAGAGAATCATTGACCGGCTGCCTCCTGCACACCCCCCACTGGGGGTCAAGCCCACAACTGAGGCATGTGCCCTTGATCGGAATTGAACCCGGGACCTTTCAGTCCACAGACTGATGCTCTATTCACTGAGTCAAACCAGCTAGGGCCAAATATATATTTCTTATAAATTACAATAGCAAAGTTCAGCCCCTGGTCTTCAAACACAGATCCCCTACAGCAAAACAATCACATAAGTCAAAAGATACTGGCACATTAGTAGAATCTCGTTCATCTTTAATAACTATCCAGTTCATCTTATGGAAATTTCTCCCAGGACGACGCCTCTCAGTTTTGAAGGCCTTCATTTGATCTTGTCCGGTTCCCAAAGTAGGAGTGATCTCAGCAATATGTGGCTTTCAGGCAGTTAGTATAATCGAGCTAAGAAACAAGCCTCTTTCGACGTGTTAATACTGGCTTTTCCTTATTACATAGCCCATGTTTTCATTCCCTTACCCTCAGCTACTATTCCCCTTCTCTCCAAACGTTTCCACCTTTGGAAGGGACGTTAGGTTTGGCCCCTGTGGTCGAGACTGCAGGCAGCAATGCTAATCGAGCAGTTCTGCCCCTCAGTCCATTCTTCATATGTAAGGTTACATAGATGCAGAACTAGTGGGCTATATGACTGACAATCTGCACACCTAATATGAATGGAATAAAGGATAAATACTCCCCCCTCCACGATGACAGTGAATTATACGTATTTCTGGAAAGTCAATAGCAAAAGCGAATCTAATTGAAAGATTGGACTCTGGAACCAACTGCTCAAATATCATATAACCTTTCAGGAATGATTTCAGAAATGAAGGGGAGAAGTTGACTTTTCACTGAACAGATATTTTGCGGTTTTTGTTTGTTTGTTTACAGCTTGTAGGCAATGTTAAACAATGTTTAGAAACAGAGTATCTGCCCTGGCTCAGTTGGTTGGAGCCTTGTCCCACACATTGAAAGGAGGCGCGTTCGGTTCCCTGTCAAGGTACATACCCAGGTTGCGGATTTGATGCCCTGGCATGTACACTGTTTTTCTCATACCGATTTATCCGTCTCTCTCACCCTTCCTCTCTCTAAAATCAATTTTTTTAAAAAAGTGGATCAGCCCACCTTTTGATCAATACATCATTACATGTGTAACAGCTCAAGTTCTTATACAAATGAATTATTACACTTAAGAGGAATTTACCAAAAGAATAGGGTTCATTTTCTTAAAGCACAGAACACATTCGTTACAGTTATGGAAAGTATGGAGTAAACATAGAGATATAAAGGGCGTTTAAGCCAGGTAAGGTTTTTCCTCCCCAAGTGCTGTCCTGTCAAGTTTAGCCTCCCGCACACCACATACTGGGGATCGCACCATGACCTCCTGGTTCATAGGTCTATGCTCAACCACGCCCACAGGGCAACATTTGTACCTTTTAAATAGTCTTAAAACCCTTACAGACTTGGAGTAGTTTTCAGACCCTCAGGTGAGTAACGGACAGGTGGACATGTCTCACAGGTCAGGCTAGCTTTCCCACGGGTCGCGCACGGTCTCCCCAGGGCAGGACTGCCAACACTTCCCGCACCGGCGGCCTTCAGCCCACCACTTCCGGCCCGAGGCCAGGACACCGGGGCAGGCGACCAGGGAAAGCCAATTACGCATGCGCGCCCGGGCGCAGCCTATCCGGAGCCCCCGCCTCGTTACGTCACCGCTAGCCTTGCCCGGACGTCAACCGGCGGGAGTTTTTCAAAATGGGAGCGCGGAGGCGCCGCCCAGGCCTCGGAAGGCGCCCGGGAGACCTTTCGGTGGCTGTGCTGTCGTCGCCAGGAGCGGCGGCCTAGAGAGCCGAGCCTGATGGGCGCCAAGAACTGCTGGTTGCTTGGAGCGTTGCCTCGAAGGGACCGCAAGAAGGGCGCTGATCCCGGGAGCCCAGGCCGTGGCCTGGAAATATGGCGACTTGCATCGGGGAGAAGATCGAGGTGAAAAGACTAGCGGTCCTTGGCGGGGCGGGACCCGAGACCTCTGCAGGCAGGGGACCCGGCGAAGCTAACGGCTGCGGGGTGGGGGTCCTGG